CGCAGTATATCTATATATACAAAACTTAATATTTGAATAACTTCCGGAATAATCATATTTGGGCGAAATAAAAAAAAAGAAACGATTTTTTTTCGATTTCCTACAATTTGCAATAAACAATAATCAATTTAATTTTCCATGCAAGTACCCTTAGTTAGCAATAGTCAAGTTCATTCTATTTTGATAATAGACCGATCTCCTATTACCTGAACTGCGCGCGTCGCTTGTAGGCTGCAGGTGAGCGTCCAATGGGAAGCAAGATTTTTGCAGGCTTGCGTCATATTCTTATTCAGGGGCCAATTCAGAATGAATCGTTCCTTCTTTCTTTGTAACGTGTAATTCGACAAAGAGCAAACTAATACTTTACATATTACTTGAACTCGCCGCAGTGTCGTTTAAGGTTATGTTAGATTATATTTGACATATTCCTTTGCAATTTCATTGAGCGATGTTGCCGGATGAAACATTTATCAAAATAAAAGTGCAAACAATGTTCATCCACTTTAAAGCTCTTCTTTTGTCTGATTTAAGGCGTTGTGGGACACTCGACACTATATCACTTCGTTAATGTTATAATGTTCGATTTGTATTGTCTACATTTGTTCTGCAACAATACAATCTGGCTACACTGCACCTACAAGTTGCGCGCGCATGTCATCTTTTATTACTTTCTAACTTGTATTTATTACAATTGAGCTATCTTTTTCTATTTATGCGAGACAGGTCAATTAAACCTTTTTTTTATCAAAATAAATTTAAATGTCATTTCACTCGGAAAATCAAATAAATTTTCAGTAAAGTTCCTTAAACAGTTGTCTTAAAATCAATTCACTAATAGATTAATACTAAAGTCTCAAATTTCTACATGTACTTACAATCTGTCCTTAGATACACAAAAGATCAAAATTACTTTCAGTTACTTAGCACGCACAAACAAAGGAAAACCTGATACTACTTTATGACTCTTACTGGACAATAGTCAATCGCAAACTTTTAGCTTTTTGCCCGAGGCAAAACAAAGATAAAAAAACTTTTTGGTAGAGACTCACTCACTGACAATTTTCTTGATTCCTTAAATCTTACTATAAAATCAACTGCTGGATGTTATCTCCCTTTTTCTGATTGTAACCTGCTTAAATAGTACTCAATTCCCACCAAAAATCTGTTACGTGGGCGGTCATTTAGCATTTCTCGAACCAATCCTCTTTTTTGACCTCGTTTATCGAGTGATAAACGACATTGTTGTTTTCCAAGAATTGTTTTTTTTTGTAAGTTTTTATTTAGGATATGATGCAGCATCCGGCGGAAATACCGGTGTTGTAGTTTATCAGTTATGTCGCAATTAAATTAAATCACATGAGTATAGTGATTTCCGGTTAAACGCGTCCTAATTTTATAATGTTTTATTGACTTTTCTTTTATCGGAATGTCGCAAAAGTCTATTAATTGGGGACATCGAACTCTGACATCCGGTCGCTTATCGCTTGTGTTGGAAAAAAAATTGTTATGTAATTTGAGTTGAGCTTAGAAATTTCGTCATTTTTTATTTATACTATTTTTATACGGAATTAGATTGCTAGGAGATTTAATAAGTTGAGATTAAATTATCTTGCAACTGACGTAGGTACTTTTTTCTAATTAAAATGACTACAAAAATGCTTTTACCAATTGAGTTTAGTTATATTTTCTGGGATTTTAGCACCTCGAAATTTTTGGGGTCGCCACAACATCATACATCTACTTTTTGGTAAAAAATAAACTTACTTTGTGATCCATCTACAGAGACTCGCCCTGTTTTGTTAAGCACATCAGTGTCAGATGAGCACAATATAATAGGTAGGTATCTAACTACCTAGTAGGTAGCTACCACGCGAAAAAAAAAACACTCCAAGAAACACATAGGATGATATCTATAATTTAAATTGTTTTTATAGCATAAAATAACCTAAATTTTACCCAATTTTCCCTATTAAAAATCCAGAAACACCGACTTCTACATAGCAGGTCTGGCCTAACCTAACCTCTAACCTGAATCTAAACAAAACTGGGCGTTGTTCGAAAATAATGAAAGTAATACGTCTTTTCGGACGTTCCAAGCATGTTAAACCTAACAACATTAAAAACGTTATTATTACCAAACAAGTTGATTTCGAACGAAACGAAAATATGAAACAGAAAACGTCACAAACATGTCATCACGTGGAACGTAGCAAGAATATAAGCTAGAGCTCGCACATAATGTTGAACAAATTAAAATATTTCTTTCACAATTTTTCGTTACTTGTCTAAAGATCCAATCAAACGCGTTTTCTCCAAGGAAAAAATAGGCAAAATATAAAAGAAACCCTCGCGAATTTTTATCCGGACTGACTCATTAGGTATTGTAGACTTTAACTCAAACTAGACAACTAACAACTCAACTCAACTGATAACTGGTCCTCTATTTCTAAAACCATTGTATTTATATGTTTCGTTCCCCCAAAAATTCTAAATTTCGTCATTCAATAACCTTCCCCATTTATTTGTTTAAAATCGAATAATTATGTCGCAATTTCCTGGTTTATCGGGGTTAACAGATTTCGTATAAGAATGTGAGGACAACTCAAAGAAAACCGACAAACACGTGCGGGCCATAAATCACCTATTTAATTACTTTGGCCTCGCTTTTAATAAGTTCATTGATATTTGATTTAGGAGATGACATCACGCTTGGTGACTAAATAATAACGTTTATAAATATCTAATTAATTTTGGGTCAACGCTAATTTGTTTCATTTTCAATTTATCGATACTGATTTGAAATACCGGAAATTCAGTTTTTGATTATTTGTTTACATTTAATTTTTACAGTAAAAACATTGTAAATTACGGGTCTATTTTCTCGGTGTATATGCTGGATTGTAGATATGTGCGAACAACTCTTTCAAACATCTTTATTGAAGACAATAACACAAAAATAGCACGAAACTGCCAATATTTCAACATTTTGTTTAGTTACAATCAAACCCTAAAGTGAATCATAATTGTCTTACTATTGACTCGCGTTTTACTAACTATCCGATTATTTGTGGTAAAATTCCATTCGCGAATTTTCTAGTCGACTGATAATGTTGCAAGATTGTGCACAATTTAACAGATGTATTACCTATTGTATTTGACCTAAAACTATATATAATTCTATTCCATCAAAACACAGTATAGATTAGCTAAAGGTCAGTTTTTTCAAGCTCCACTTATGGTTGTTCTTTTGTTAAAATAAAAATAGTGAGGATTTTTTTGTTGAAAAATCAATCCTCCTTGAGTAGGTAGTTGAAATACCTTTTTGCTAAATATATTTATGTAAAAAAAAATACACACATTATGTAGTATTAATTACTAAATCCTGAAAAGAAATGCTCAAAAAGTGTACAAAAAAAAAAAAATAACCGCCAAATTCTTCCTTTAATGTTTCCTGCCCCTGAAAATCTTTGTATTTTAAATGTTTATTACTTAATAATAATTAATTGTCTGATGGAATGTTTTTCAAGTATCTTTTTTCTATGTCAAGATTTCAATACAAAAACACAACGGAATTTCTAAATGTATATTTTTTCTAGTCGTAAGTATTTAGGTTAGTACCCTGGATAAGACTTTAGTGTAAAATATAGGTGTAATTATTTACCGGGTTGTCCCAAATCAATTTTTGTTTGATTGTTGATAAATTGCAATTTTTCCCTTAAAAAAAAAGTGTCCCAAGTACATGGGCACATAAAATATGGGATGAAAACGTCAAATTTGTGATTTAAAATTAATGCAATTAATAAATAAAATAGGTGTGAAGTAACTAAAAAAAAAAAATATTGTACTGATTTTACTTTCTATTAGTTTTATTTTTCTTAAAGGCAGATTTATCAACATTTTGTTAAATTAGCAGATAATGAAGGAATCAGGACACAAATTGATCTTAATAAACCTTAGAAAAAATCCTTTATTAATTGTTGATAAATGCCCTTGCCTGAATAATAGATAATTACTTCTGATGTAATGGTTCCCTATTGAAAATTCCCTCAGTGCCATAAAACTCACTCTACTTATATCTCTGTAAATAATTAAAAAACAATTCTGTAAATATAGGAAATAGTTCTTGAAACAAAAATTGTTCTTAGTGTTAAGAGACAAGAACCCAAATATGTTTTTAATAAAAATAAAACTCTTTTTAGTTTATAAGTGGAAGAAAAAAAATGTTTGTCAATACTTAAATGATAGTTGAACTAAAAACAAAATGACTTTTTTAAATGAAAAACAAGAATAACAAATTGTTATTTACAATTATTATGTCTATGTTTGATACTCAAAATATTAACATTTTAGTAAAAAGAACCCATTTTACACAGAAGAACTTTTTCAAGCCTAAAATTAACATGTTAATGTAAATAACAATTTCTCAAATTGTTCGTTGAGTAGCACTAAGACAATCAGGTGCGTAACTTATGCTTCTCGTTAGGCATAATTAGGCATTTAAATAGATGCCCCCTCCTAAAACCCATTTTTCATCACCCATACTTCACTTTTTTTTCAATTAATTCCTAATGATTATTGTAATTAGCCCATTTTCCACCACACGACCATTTTTATAAACAAACGTAGTTGTTTAATTCCTTGTATTTATAAATACATATCACCTTTTTTTGGGATTTTCACAAAAATAAATAAATATTTATATAGTGGTACCTACTTATGTCGAATTGGCAAAAAAAAAAATTAAATCTGTGTGTTTTTTCTTGTATATACATCCAGATAATGATTTGTTTATTATTATCATCATTATTATTTATTATTAGATATTAATAAACAACTTTAAAAAAAAGTTAAATGTGTTTTATGTACCGAATTTTCTTTTCAGGCTATATCTACCACTTACTGAGTAAATGCCGTACGTTGCTGTAGGCCAAAAGACAGTTTGATTATTTATAGAAAACTTTAGTGTCACTTCCTACTTTAGGAAAATAATACTCAAATAATCGAGTTATCTGAAATAAATTATATTAACTGTCGTTGAGAAAGTTAAATCTAAAACTATTATCAGATTTAGCAAATGTTACAGTATTATTTGGCACTAAATTGTTTGATATAATTATTTGTTGTTCTTCTTTACATAAATCATCTTTTTCTATACTACTAGAGTTACAAGGAAAATCAAATTTAAACTCATTTTCTCCATTACTAAATACAGCTTTCCTGAAAAATAGCGATTTGCTGCTAGGTTTGCTCTCACCAACTTTTATGGACATTTCTGTAAAGCAAATTATTAAAAAATAATTAAGTGAAATTCTTATTTACTTACTTTTAGTTTTCTTTTCTTCTTCAAGCATTTTCGATCGGTAATCGCCAAAGCACAATCTCATCACTTGCCTTTTTTTAATCAGTGGGGCATTGATGCTCATTAATGTGTTCAGCGATCTCGTGTGTTCTATAACTGAAAGTAGGTAATTATTTTTGAAGAAAGTTTATGGAAAATAAGAAAAATATCTTTGGAAAAAAAACAAGTGTTAAACCAAAGCTACAACACACTGCTAATTACTTAGGTATACTATGACTTATGATTTTGTATAAGACAATGGAGAAACCCAAATTCCCAATCATTGGACACTGGCGGTTATTGCAGACCAATTTCAAGCTTGTTAGCTTTCGTCATTTGTCAGTACAACATAAGCGAAAGCACGTCAACTCAGAATTCAGACTAACAAGTTTAAACGAGATTCTCTGTATAAGAAACACATAGACCTTTAATCTTCTTAAATTCTCAAGTGTCATGCCTAAGTCTTAAGTCTTACATTAGGGAAGCTCTGAGTCTACCTTAATTAAGTTAATAAAATCAAATTTGGACAAGAATTAAAACTCAAATCTTTGATATATGCAATTAACCTGAAGTACACTCACAATCAATCAAAATATCAGATATAGGTACCTAACCGAGTACCTAACTAAACAAAAAACCTATGCAGCTCTTACTCAAAAAATGTGACAGTATCAAAACCAAGTAGGTATAGAAAAGGAAACTGAAAAAGCATACACCACACCACCGAAAGCATCACAGAAACTGGAAACAGCGATAAAGATTGAGAACATAATCTAATTGGAAGAGCCGATATTGGAAAAGGGTTTAAAACCATACATTTGAAAAATGAAGCAATAGTCGTAGAGAGCCGTAATGAGTCTCAACAAGGAAAACAGCAAATAAACACAACATAAAAATTAAAGAAAATTAGGCGATAAGCCCCATGTTTATGATGGAATTCTTAAAGGCTACTCAGACTGAATTTATTGAAGAACTGATAAGAACGAATAATGGAATAGAATCTAAATTGTCAATAACCAACATTTCAGATAAAATGAATAATGAAAATAATGTCACAACCCCTATATGTTTCGTCCTGGGACGTCACAACAGAAGCGTGACTTGGGGGCGTAGGTGGGGTTCAGGTAAAGAGAAACTCGCTTGGTATAGTTATAATAAGATATGTATTTAATAATAATAGTGTTATTCTAGAAATTGTAGGTATCATGACGTCTCTTCTACGGAAAGACGTACTACTTATGGGCCACTCTGTATTAATTATGTACCCTCTGTACACTTGGCGTGACTAAACACTGAAACTAGGTTTGAGACAGGTCCAGAAGGGCGTTTGCACTGGGAGGAGACTTAATTAGAGGGGCTTTTCCCATTAGGGGTAGTTCGCACTAGCTTTAGTCTGCCGGTAATGGATTTCGGCGCTGTATTTATACCAAATAAATGCTCACTCGTCGACACACTTTAGTAAAATAATTTTACAGAGTACAGAGTGGTAGGTATTTACTTAAGTAGTTAACAATAATAATCAAAAAATTGTGTCATAATCCAAGTAATGAAAATTGGATATTACAAGCAGAACCAGCAATATCGGGTTTTACAGAAGGAAACTGTGAATTTCGATCTATTGAAAAACGTTATTGATAAAATAAACATGTTGAATGCTATATTTTTTGTGCATCATAACACTGGAAAAGTGAAGAACATCTCACACAATTGGGCATAAAAAACTTCAAATTAACGGTCAACACGGAGGAATTGCAATCTATATGCATACCAAAACATCGGACATCGGCAAAAAGTAGGAAAAACCTTTACAAGTTAAGTATCAGTGAGTGGAGTTTTTGAATGTGCGGCAGTGTTGCCAACCATACTATAATTATAGTATTTGTACTATAATTAAATGGTTATGTACTATGTACTATCAAAGGTCATTATAGTACGCCTAAAATACTATAATTAGGCATTATCAAATTATTTAGTTTTTTACTGGAAAAAAATCTCTATTTGCCTAAACCTATTTTGTTGGCGTGCAAGCCTGTGTCAAGTCACCTTTTTTCTTTTTCTTTTTTTTTTAGCTGAAGAGGCTCTGAGTATTAATAGAGGATGTATTTTTTGACAGTTGATATTTTAAATGTCAACTGTAAAAGTGTTAGTTTAGTGTATTTTAAAATCTGTTTTTTTTTTTTAAAGATAATTCCCCAAGTCAAAAATTTAGTAACTATGTTGACAACACAAGCCTTTTCTTCATAAAAATTTGAAAGCATTGACAATTTAACATTGTATTGCCAACATAATGTCATTTTGACTTTTATCTTTAAAAAAAAAACAGACTTTAGGTAACTGGGTTTACACTGTCAATTGTCAATTTCATTGATTTTCCTGAGTGGATCCTTTTTTTATACCAAACAAAATGTTATTGGACGCACCCCTATTTAATTTTTGGAATGTAATTTTGTTGTTTTTCACGGGAAAAATTTGAAATTTTAATTTTAGTGTGATGCGCCCCTGACTTTTCTCTTTTTCTCCAGAAAATGTCATAATTTCCCCATTTCCCAGAAGAAAAATAAAATGTTGGATGGTGCATTTATGCCTAATTTAGTTGATTTTCATTAATTTCCAGTGGGGTTATTTTCCACTGAAAAAAATTTGAAACTTTTCTATGATACGCCCCTGATTTTCTTCTTTTTTTCCAAAAAATATCATAATTTTCCCTGGAATAGTTTTCCAGAAAAGAAATAAAATGTTAGATGGTGCATTTATTCCTAATTTAGTTGATATTCATTAATTTCCAATGACGTTATTTTCCACTAGAAATATTTGAAATTTTACTATGATTCGCCTCTGATTTTCCTCTTTTTTTTCCAAAAAATGTCATAATTTTCTCCTAAACAATTTTCCCGGAAAAAAATAAAATGTTAGATGGTGCATTTATGTCTAATTTAATTAATTTTCATTAATTTCTAATGGGATTATTTTTCACTGGAAAACTTTGAAATTTTAGTACGATGCACCCCTGACTTTTCTCTTTTTCTCCAGAAAATGTCATAATTTTCCCCTGAATAGTTTTCCAGAAGAAAAATAAAATGTTGGATAATGCATTTGTGCCTAATTTAGTTGTGCCTAATTTTCATTAATTTCCAATGGGGTTTTTTTCCACTGAAAAAATTTGAAATTTTACTATGATACGCCCCTGACTTTCTTCGTTTTTTTCAGAGAATGTCATAATTTTCTCCTGAATAGTTTTTCAGAAGAAAAATAAAATGTTAGATGGTGCATTTATGCCTAATTTAGTTGATATTCATTAATTTCCAATGAGGTTATTTTCCACTAAAAATATTTGAAATTTTTCTATGATACGCCCCTGATTTTCCTCTTTTTTTCAGAAAATGTCATAATTTTCTCCTAAACAGTTTTCCGGGAAAAAATAAAATGTTAGATGGTGCATTTACTTCTAATTTAATTGATTTTCATTAATTTCCAATGGGATTATTTTTCACTGGAAAAATTTGAAATTTTAGTATGAAGCGCCCCTGACTTTTCTCTTTTTCTCCAGAAGATGTCATAACTTTCCCCTGAATAGTTTTCCAGAAGAAAAATAAAATGTTGGATGGTGCATTTATGCCTAATTTAGTTGATTTTCATTAATTTCCAATGGGGTTATTTTCCACTGAAAAAAATTTGAAACTTTTCTATGATACGCTCCTGATTTTCTTCTTTTTTCCCAGAAAATTTCATAATTTTCCCTTGAATAGTTTTCCAGAAAAAAAATAAACTGTTAGATGGTGCATTTATGCCTAATTTAGTTGATATTCATTAATTTCCAATGAGGTTATTTTCCACTGGAAATACTTGAAATACTATGATACGCCCCTGATTTTCCTCTTTTTTTCCAGAAAATGTCATAATTTTCTCCTGGACAGTTTTCTAGGAAAAAAATAAAATGTTAGATGGTGCATTTATGTCTAATTTAATTGATTTTCATTAATTTCCAATGGGATTATTTTTCACTGGAAAAATTTGAAATTTTAGTATGATACGCTCCAATGGAGTTATTTTCCACTGAAAAAATTTGAAATTTTACTATGATACGCCGATACGCTCCTGACTTTCTTCTTTTTTTTCAGAGAATGTCAGAATTTTCCCCTGAATAGTTTTTCAGAAGAAAAATAAAATGTTAGATGGCCTAATTTAGTTGATTTTCATTATTTTACAATAGGTTTATTTTTTATTTGAAAAATTTGAAATTTTAGTATGATATGCCCCTGACTTTTGTCAGATGGTGCAATTATATTTGATTAAGTTGATTATCATTAATTTTCAATGGGGCAATTCCACTCATGTATAAATAAACCCATTTAAAATGTCAAAAATCATAGTTTGCTAGCGCATAAATAGGAAGGAAGAGAAAATATAACTGGATAAAAAAATCGGATAAATTTTCTGTTGATGCAATCGTTACTATAGTAACAATTGCATAAAAAAATGTTCGGCCTCTCTCCGTGGGGCTTTGCCCCCTAATAAAGGGGGCCCCAGGGGGCTGGGCCCCCCAAATATAGGGCTCCCACGGGGCGAACCACGGGGCTTCGCCCCCTCAAAAAGGGGGCTTCGGATTTTATTATGGGTACCAAAAAAAAAGTATGCGGGAAAAAAAATTCCCACACACGTTTGGGAAAGGGTTTCTTTGCGTACGCAAAAGTACTATTTTGCGCACACTCATGGAAAAATATTTATTTTGATTTTGCATTCGTGGAATTGCCTAGGATTAAGTATTTTTCACTGGAAAAAATTGAAATTTCAGTATGACACGCCCCTGACTTTTCTCGTTTTGTCCAGAAAATTTCATAATTTTTCTTTGGATAGTTTTCCAGAAAAAAAATAAAATATTGAATAGTGCATTTATGACTTATTTAGTTGATTTTCAATAATTTCCAATAGGTTTATTTTTCATTTGAAAAATTTGAAATTTTAGTATGATACGCCCCTGACTTTTCTCGTTTTATCCAGATTATTTCATAATAGTTCGCTCTCTGTTTGTCCCACCAGGACAATTGGTGGTCATCTGTCTCCAGCAGGATACTATAATTTGTACAAATGTACTATAATTTTATAGCGTCCTATACTAT